ATCTTTCCAGAATGATAATATGGATTTTTGTTTGTTCAATTTAGTTTTTCGGCCTTATGCAAAGCTTAAAAATACATATTTATTTGATTTTTAGAATAGCCCCCACTTTTAAGATTGAACAAGCGTTTAGAGCAATTTCATGCCCTTTTTGTTTGGTTTGAAATCGAGAAGAAAATAAAATTTTTAAATTATGATTCGCAGAATCTGAAATTCTTGGAGTATGCACTATATTAAAAACTTCAAGTTGGATTAAATCAACGGCACATAATATACTTATTTTTTGAGCCTATAAAATTGAGCTAAAGGCATTTTTATTATGTGATTTTAACGGTATTTAGTAGGTTTTTTATCAAAATTAATAGAAGTAAAAAACAGAAATATTTTAGTTTTTAAACTGTAAATATTTCTTTAGGAGCATTTAATTTTGGATTACTATAAGCTATTATAAAATTAGTTAACGCTTAAACTTTTCAACCATGGTTAATCCAGCAATTAAATGTGAAACATGTCCTCCAATCCAGCCCGCTCTTTCTGCAGCAGTTACAGGTCCTGGAGAGATAGACAATAAATGTAATGAATTGGGAGTTCCAGCTATACTGGCAAACTATGATCTTGCCACGCCTATTGATCTCTCATTCCTCAATCTTGATATGACTACCGGAGTACACATCCCCCATCAGATATCTGAAAGGGAGGGAGGCCGGAAATCTCAATATTATCTTGAGGTTGGTGAAACCTTATTGGCAGGAATCATTACTACACAAGACGGCCTGATGCTCCGCAATGTTACTCGTGTTACTGGCAGTGGACCACAAGCAAATAATGGAGATATTTATAGGGAACAGTGGAAATCACGTACCGGTGAAATGATATATGAGGCATCAGGGCCATTAGAAATTTTAGATCCTTCAAAGGGCAAGGGCAAAGTAGTTCTCACTCAAACGTCAACTCCACAGGTAGCACCCCCAGGAGCTACCAGATCAGTAAGTGTATGGGTACTTTGGAGCTGTATAAAAGTGGAAACTGAATCAGCCTGCAGTAGTTAACCTACATCATCTCTGGCTTAGTTCCTCATAATGAAAATCCTACAATGTAGCCATCGAACTAACTATTTGGTGTTAATTTAATAGGCAACTTTAAAGGGTTAAAAGTAAGGGCCCACCAAAAATGTGGGCCCTTTATATTTATATACTTTGTTTTCAAATTGCCAATGGCTTATTACAGCTTCACAAATCTTAACACATTTATTCCAGCTTCATCATATAGCTTAATAAAATAGGTGCCAGATGGCAGTCCCGATATGTTAAAAGTATGGGAGGCTGCATTAGGGCTGACCTTTACCGTTTCGATCACACGGCCATTAAGGTCAAGCAGTTCGATCTTCGAGGTTTGCTGGACAAGCCTTACCGTAACCTCGGAG